GGGGACTCTGAGGGTTTCCCTACCAGAACCACTGAAGGGAAATTGTTCCCTGGGAAAATAGGGTCTCTCTACCAGGCTGCTCATGTGCCCCAGGCTTCTCGGGTTCTTGCCAGTCTGGCTGGTTCCTGCCAGAGACCCCCTTCTGTCTCCCCTTGCGGCCTCCCCTCCCCTCTGGCTCAGTCTTCCTCACCCCGCTCTGAGGTTTGGGATGATTCCTAGTTCATCCACATCGACCTGTTTCTGCTTCTCCTGGTCACTCTGTCATTTCTCCCAGGTGAGGTGGATGTCTCTGTTCCTCGCTCCCACCATAGCCCACCCTTGCCCAGGAGGCTAGTGTTGCCTTTGCCCAGAGACAGTGGCATGTGTCTTTGGGGATGGACCCACTTACTCCCCACACGTCCATTCCCTTGAGTTTCTCGGTTTCCTTCTCATGGTCTCAGCCAGAACAGAATGCTGAGTGAGACTTTGCTTCTTGTCTCTCCACTGGACCAAGAGTCCCTCCAGGGGACCCACTGCTCTGATTCGCTGCCGTATTCTCCACTTATGTCACTCCTGGGTCTTTAAAGGAAGGAGGTAGATGATCGGTAGGTATCTATGATCATTAATTCTTGTAGAAATCATAGAGGTATTTTACAGATACCATCTTTAGGTCCTTTTCATAGCTAAGAAACTGAAGCTTAGAGTGGCTCAGTTATAATAATAAAAGCATTCGTTTGCGGTGCTCTGTGTCACGCAGTCTGCTCTTGGCCCTGAGCTCTGAGCCCTCCTCCGTTCTGCAGGTGAGGAGGGAGGGGAGAGAGATGGTCATTATGTGGTGGAAGTGGGGCCTGGACCCCACCTGCCTACCCCAGCACCTTCTCTCCCCTCCATGTGCCCTCCCCAGCTTTTCTCCCTTGGGCAGTGAGCACACACGCCCAGAGAGCAGAGGCTGGTGGTGGGTATGGGTCCCAGAGTCATGCCCCCTGTAGACATGCAATCTGACAGCAACACATGCACCTCCAGCTGGTTTGGTCCCCATGCCGCTGTTTGAGAGCAGAAGTGATGGTAAATATTTAATTGTGCTTCCACCATAACTTTCTGCCAGAACTCTCAATATGCTTTATAAATGCAAATGAGTACTCTCTTCATCTCCAGGGAGATGTAAACCTCCTCAAATCACTTTAATTCAGCCCCCACCAGAGTGTAATGCCATAATCAGGAGTGCTCTGTGCCAGAAAAGAAACTGCCCTTAATCATATCGAGTGGATGGTTTATGGTTTTGTGGCCTTCCATCTCCACGGCGGGCAGGATGCAGAGAAATGGATTCTTCTCGTTGCAAGTTCTGTCCAAGAAGGTGGATGGAAAACATTATTTAGAAACAGATTCAATTATAGCCCTTGAGCAGGTAACTATGAATATAATGAACTCTTAGATTGTGTTCCTGGGGTTAACAGAACAAACCAGTCCTTGGAAGATTTAGGAGTGAAGGCTGTTTCTTACTTTTGGTTCTGGACTCTAGTTCCCTCCCTGCCCATGTCCTCTGCTCTTCACTGCACTTCAGCATGATCCTGAAGTTGGGGAGTGCCTCCATATACATTTTTATTGCAATATGTGCTGTTCTGGGGGGCTTTTGTGGCTTCTTAGTGTTATGAGCAAGATCCTCCATTCCAGGGCACTGCAGAGTCCACAGAAACCCATGTCTGCCCAGTAGGCAGCAGGCTGAGATTTGAGGCTATCAGCATCAGGATGGGAGGCTATGTGACCCTGAAGGAGGCACTACAATATTCTGTACCCTGGTCCCCAACTCTGCAAAGTGGGTTCAGTGACTCCTGATTCAGGCCCACCTGGCAAAGGCATTTAATCATGGAGATGAATTTCTCCAGGGCCTCATGGAGTGCCTTTGGAGACATGTATTATGTAAATCTGGTGTGTCATTATGATCATTATTAGTGCTGTGAAGTGGAGACACGGGGGAGAAGGAGGGCTGCTCCGTGCAGGAACCGGCCTCCCCAGCTGTCGGAAGAATCGGTGGAGAAAACAAACTCAAGCAGTCTGTTCCTGTGCTTGCATTCCTTCAGTTATGCAAGGGGTACCACTCTTGATCCAACTCCAAGTGAGCTTGGATGGGCTAGTAAACCCAACTCCCTGTATTTGCTTTATTCCCCTGTTTGCAGTGAGAGCCCCCACTCCACTGGGAGGCAGGTTGTGAGGAGGTGCCTCACTGACCTGTTAGCACCTGTCCATACTGGTCCCATTGAGATATCCTGGACCCCATCTGAGCCGTGGGTATAGTCCATGCCAGTCACCATGGGGTGGTTCTGGGGTCCCTTCACTAGACCTGTTCTGGCCCAGAGACTCTGTCTGCTCCGTCTATGCCATGTCCGCCTGGTGGGGTCACTCCAGGCTGGGATGCTGGGTGTCCAAGCCCTGTCACCTGGGCAGACTCCCACCATCCCTTCTCTGGGATTGAGCACTGAGAGACAAGGGCATAGGACACCCCTTGACTCAGCACGGCTCCTCATTTATCACTTTATTTTCACTGCCTCAGTCCTGCCCACAGGGTAGGTTTCTTCCTAATCCTTTGGTTTATGCCAGGAGTTCTTTTGTTTCCTAAGGGGCCCAAATTTCTGCATTCATACTTCCCATCTCCTGCCTAGAATAGAGAACAGAGAATAACTGTTCACAGGGGAAGGAGGGATGTTCAGGAGAAAAGGAAACAGTAGGGAGAAACCAAAACAGCACATCGAGTCTATGTCCTATGCCCATGTTTGTTGAGCCACCTGTTCAGTTAGGGTGTACTGTGCCTGGTGCTTCGATACATGCCTTGGAAAGTTCAAGTGCATATAAGACACCTCCACTAGCCTAAAGAGCACCACTGTGTGATTTTGAAAGGTGCCCTTTTGGAACTCTGGACTCCCATGCCAAAAAAAAAAAAAAAACAACCCTCACAATTGTGTATTTGACTCATAGCTTCCAACTTGGGCAAAACTTAACTCAAAATAGATCATAGACCTAGGTAAGAGAAAAACCTTTGTAGTCTTGGGTTAGGCAAAGATTTCTTAGGTATGATATCAAACCATAAAAGAAAAAAGTTGATAAATTAGACTTCTCCAAAATTTAAAACTTCTGCTCTTTGAAAGATGCTATTAAAGGAATGAAAAGATAAGTCATAAAGTGGGATAAAATATTTGTAGACCATCTGGTCTGATAAAGGACTTGTATCCAGAATAAAGAACCTACCAAACTCAATAATAAGGAAATAACTCAATTTAAAAATGGAAAAATATCAAACAGACACTTCACTAAAAGATATACAGATGACAAGAAATCATGTGAAAAGATGCTTAACATCACTCTTCATTAAGGAAATGAAAATTCAAACCACAATGAGATACCACTGCACATCTGTTAAAATGGCCAAAATTAAAAATGACTGACCATGCCAAGTGTTGGCAAGGATATGGATGAACTGGAACTCTCATATACTTTCATGTAATAGCCCCAAAATAGAAATGACAGGTGAATTGGTAGACAAAATGCAATCTCTCCATACAGTGAAATACTACTTAGCAATGTAAAGGAATGAACTATTGATACACACAAATATGGTGAATCTTAATTATGCTGAACTAAGCCAGATTAAGAAAGTATACTGTATGATTTCATTTATATAAATTTCTGGAAAATGCCAGTTAACCTACAGTGAGAAAAAACAGATTAGTTATTGCCTGGGGACAGTGACAGGGTGGGGCAGGGGCAAGAGGGAAGGAGGGATTTTAAAGGGACAGGAAGCTTCCCCAGAAGCTTCTGGTGGCTCTGTTTCTTGGTCGTGGCGATGGTTTCATGGGTATAAATATATGTCAAAACTTATCAAATTGTATGCTTTAATTATGTGCAGTTTATTGCATGTCATTTCTACCTCAGGAAAGCTGCTGTTTAAAAAAAAAAAAAAGGATTTCCCTGGTGGTCTGGTGGTTGAGACTCTGCTTCCAATGCAGAGGGCACAGGTTCAATCCCTGGTTGGGGAACAAAGATCCCACATGCCGTGTAGTACAGCCAAAACGCACTAACCCCCATACACAACAAACAAACCCGCCTGCAAACAAAAGGGCTTTTGGACTTGCTGATCAAAGCTCTAGTCAGGTTTTGGGGAGAAGTTTCCATCGAGAGGTAGGGCTGACAGCAGTCAATAATAGATTGAAAAGGAAAGAAAGAAAAAAGAAAAAGGTGCCCCGTTTTCAGGACACTTCCCTGCTACCTGCCCGAAAACAGTTGTAGTAAATATCAGCTCTGTAATTGCTACATGGTGCCTGGTGATCTTGGTGCATGTGCTGCAGCCACCCTGGTGCCCCTGGGGGCTTGCAGCCAAGTCAGGGTGTCCATCTTTCCCTTCCTGGCCAGAGGGATTGGTGACCAGGAAGCAGGCCTCTGGGGTCTGAGATGTGTGTTTGTGTTTGGGGTGAGGCCTTTGCCAAAGCCACATGAGCTTCCAGCAGAGGCTTGGGAAGGGGGTGGCCATGAATCTGGGCCCAGAACCTGCAGGAGGACTGAGTGTTGGGGTCAGAGAAGTTGAAGGGAAATCAGCTGAGAGTGTCAACGTGGATGCCTAAGGGGAAGCAGAAGAGAGGAGTGTGGAGAAAGGAGTAGGGAGTTGGAGATCAGAAGGAAGTGGCTGAGAAAGACTTGAGGGGGGGAATTCGATTTGGCTACTTGGTCAACACATAGGTTGAGTGATGTGAGAAGATGCCATGTCTCAGGATTAAAGTGATGAGTAGGCAGATGATGTCACACACCATCCCCCGGGTGGCTTGGGGTAATTCAGTAGAGCCTTAGCATCAGGACACCCGAGTTCTGTACCTAACTCTGCCACAAGCTGCTCCTCCTAGCAGACCTCTTCCCCTCAAGCCGTAGGCTTGGCAGAGGAGCCCAGGGTTCCTAGCACTGACATTTACAGTCCTAAGTAACTTCACTGTCCAGTAATTCTTCTGACTCACTATTTTTTTCCTTTTTTTGACCTTCAGAAACTTTAATGGACACCAGGACGGCTACTGCAGAGCTGGGCTGGACCGCCAATCCCGCATCAGGGGTGAGTGTCAGACCGTCCGTCCTCCTGTCCTGATGAGTAGTCATGGGAGCAGAACCTGACTTGCCCCTGTGGGGTGTGGATTACAGGTGTGAATGGCTTTGTCCGTGGCCCATCCACAGAGAGCCAGCAGCAGGTGGCCAAGGCCTGTGAGGGACTGGGGCCAGTGGCTGCCAGTAGTTGGGTGTTCAAGTCAGTGGTAATGGGGAGGACAGAGATCCGGATATCCGTGGGGCTGAAGAGGGGCCAGGGCATGAGGAGGAGCTCGAGTTCAGAAGGGCTGAGGCTGTCTTTCACCTGGCACTGCCTTAGAGCAATGTTCTGGATTCATTCGTTCAGTGTTCATGCACCTGGTCAGAATCTGTAGCTGCAAAGATGAATAGCCTTGAGGAGCTCATGGCCTCCTGTGGGATCCACCACATGCATGAATGAGCTGAAATGTATCTCTCCTGGGTGGCAATGGGGAGACTGACAGCCGGGTGTGGGCACAGAATTGGGAGTGAGACACTTCAGAGGGAGACAAGAAGCCTTTACAAAAAAAGTGCATGCAAGCTGGGCTTTGGAGAGTGAGTAGGAGTTTGACAGGCAGTAAGTAGGGAGTCTGGAAAGATATTCCAAGTAGGAGGAATAGCTGGTTAAAAGGGATGGGGTCATGAAACGATGTAAGAACAAGAGTCTGCGTGTTTGGACCTTGGGAGGGTGTGGGTAGTGCTGAGGTGGGGCTGGGCTGTGGATTGGGCAGTGTACAGTGTGGGGAACTGGGACTGCTCTGCTGAGTTAGCCATTTGGCTTTATGGATCTTGTCACACTTGCTGACACAATTGTAGGGAACAGTTGAGAGAAGGCTCTTTTAGCTGTCTTGGATGGGTCAGAGGCATCAGATTAAAATGGGATACTCAGGACAGCTGGAGCAAAACTAAGCAGGAGGCCTTGGCCGCATTTGGCAGTGGGTAAAGACACTGGGGAGGGGAGAGACAGAGGGAGGAGGTAGGATGGGATTCACATCTCAGGCTCGAGTGGCTGGCTCTCTGTGGGGCTTAATCATGAAGGGAGAGGACAGGAGGAATGCATGGACTCTTCATCCGGGCGAGGGGGTGAGGCAGGGCCAGGGTTAGCTGGATCTTCTCTTCAATCTCCTCCTCCTCTCTCCTCCCTGCCTTTGGTCACCTCCAGCCTGGGGCCTCAGGCCACTCTGCACCCCAGCGTGCGAGTCACAGCCAGTCCTAAGACTCCCACTTATGTCTTAGGGACATTGGGATTCAGGTCCCAAGGCAGACTGTGGCCTCACCTGTGCTTTCTCTCCGGGATCTCACTTTTGGTGCAGGCATCAAACCTTGCGGTAAGAGGGCAAGGTCTGGGGTGAGCTGTGTTTCCCAAAGTGGGGCCAGGAGCAGGGGCCAATCTTGCCCACACTGACAAGTCCAAATCCTGCTGGGAACACTGCAGGCCACCAGGGAATACCTCCCACTCCCACTGGGGACCTCGTGAAAGCTGATGATGCAGCAACTCTTCAAGTTGCCCAGACATTAAGGATTTGCCCCTCTTCTACAAGTTACATGGTTAGCAGAAGGTTTGCATGTTTTCTCCTGTGACTTAAGTCATTGATGTGACTTATGGTTCATTTTCTGCTTGATTTTTGTACACATCGCGTGTCTTCTTTAAATTTCTGAACTCCTTCCCAAGGCAGGTGGCCCTTTTGGGAAATATTCAAAGTCAAGAGATGCCTGGAAGGGGATGAGAAGGAGTGGGAGGCAGGAGAAAGCCAAGAGGTGGTCTTACAGAAGCGCAGGGGGCAGGGGTGAAGGAGGAAGGGGGCCAAGGTGGCAGGTGCTGCTGGGCTTTGGATGGTGCACTGGGCTTGGTTACAAGGACCCTATTGGTGCCACATGCTGCTGGTTTCAGAAGGGACCAGGGTCAGAAGCCAGAAAGCAGGGCGTTGAAGGGTCGATGGGAGGTGAGGCGATGGAGCAGCCCATGAGAGAAGGGAATACAGAGCCCAGGAGGTGGAGGCAGGTGCCTCTCAGGGGATGGGATTCCTTTGTGGTTGAAATGGCAGGACAGAGAGACGGGAGGACTCAGGATTGGTACGGAAGCCATAAAATAAGAAGTGTTTTAGTTTCCCATCTTCTCTCTGAGGTTGGAGGGGTGGTTGGGAGAGTGGAGGTGTGGAGCCTTAAGTAGCAGGTCTTAGGAGGGAGGAAAAGGTGTGAGGTAACTGCCACTGCTGGTGAGTTGGGAGAGTCTGGACTCTTTGGAAGGAAGGTGGCTGGAATAAGGACCTAGTTGAGGTCCAGGCTGTGTGTGTGTGACGGCCCCAATCCGGTGTGCCTGGAGGCTGTGTGGCATTGGAGTCATCCTCACTTGTGCTTATGCAAGAATGGTGGGCCTGAGGGGTCAGGAGCTGAGGATGTTGGCAGGAGGGGTTCAGCATCTTATAGCGTGACATCATCCCAAAAAGAAGAGTGAAGCCAGGACCATTGTGACAAAGTACAGAGGCCTAGCTGGGGGTCTCAAGGAGACTGAAGGAGGACTGGAAGCCATGGCCTTGGATCAGGGCTTAACTTTAAGACACGCAGAGTACTTCTGGGTGATAAAGGGGTCTGGGGAGTGGGGCCAGGGTTCGGCATTTGAGAAGCCAGGAGGCTGGGTGAACGGTCCACATTTTCCTGGGATCCAGTAGGGGAGGAGATGAGCCCCACCCCAGCAACCCAGAAAGAGAGCAAATTGCCCTTCAGATGGCCCCTGCAGTCAGTATACAATGTGTGCTGAAGATGTTGATGGGTGGGTGGGCATTGTTCTGGTAGCCTGTGTGTCTCCAGGGAACTGGTTGGCCTGGTTCAGAAGGGGTACCATGATTCCACCAGGGAGCCCAGCTGGCATTGCAATGAACCCTATCCATGGTGCATGGCCTGTGAGGAAGGCTCCCCAGAGAGAGGCCAGGAGACTTCCTTTTGTGGTTTCCCTGGGTATCTTCACCCTTGTACTCAAGGACTGCCAGATGCGGGAAGGATTTGGACTGCCCACCCACACATAGCCTGCAAATTGTTTTCAGTTATATCGCTGGAAAATGGATTATAATATTGCATGTCAAAACCAGAAAGTATTTCTGCTCAAATGGCAAAATGTTGCTTTATAATCTAATTGCAGCTTTAATTTAAAGCCTTTAGGTTTAACCCGAATCAGAGGCCACCTGGTGAGCAGAGGCAGAAAATAACAAATATATTTATGAAGTAACAGATTCTGGGGGGATGGGGGGCTGAGCTCCCATCAAAGGGCATCCCAGGACCCTCACCCATGACCCTGTGAACTCCACCCTCCTCCCTTGGGCTGCCTTCAGTTACCTCTCCCAAACCCTTCCTTATAGTCCTGCTCCAAAAGGGTCCTGACCTTCACATGTCAGGAGCTCTGGGCAGGAGGGTGCTTTGAGGTCCCATGGTCAACACTCAGGGAGGTGCTTGGCTGCCACAGGGCTCAGTAAGTGATGGTTCTCATGGTTTTGTGGTCCACCTTAGCAGTCATCCCCATTCCTAGAGGGGTTTCCGGGGTGGCTCAGTGGTAAAGAATCCGCCTGCTAATGCAGGAGACGTAGATTTGATCCCTGGGTTGGCAAGATCCCCTGGAGAAGGAAATGGCAAGTCACTCCAGTATTCTTGCCTGGGAAATCCCATGGATAGAGGAGCCTGGTGAGCTATAGTCAGTGGGATCACAAAGAGTCAGACAAGACTGAGTGACTGAACGACAGCCACTGTTCCTAGATGCTGCCTGGCTGTCTCCCCGCTTTTCCTTTTCCCCTTCCCCCTTGCATCCCTGTCTGCCCCTCAAGTGTCAGTTCCATTCCTGTTCCCTCAGGGAGCCCTCCTGGGTGCCCCTCCCCACCAGGACTCCAAGGTAGGGGCCCTTTTCCTAAAGCAGAAGGCTTGGTGCCAACTCCTAACTCTCCATCACTCTGTGAGCTAAACCTGCATTGATGGGTGCTTCCTCCCACTGGACAGAGAAAGGAGTGGCTTCCCCTCTGTCCCTGGTCCAGCAGGGGACAGGCTTCAGTAAATGTTTGTTGGCCACATAAAATGAGGAAGGAGCAGCGCATTCATGATACTTCCTGCATCTTCAACCCAGGGTTCTGAACTGGGGAGATGCTTGGTTTATTGTAGCCCAATAAAATGATTTTTGTAGGCCTCTCAATACCCAATTGATGGTCAGTATCTTTTAAAGAAACTTAATCAGTGACACAGATAGAGCTACCTTTCCTTTGATGAGCATGACGGAGAAGACCAGGACGCTAGCCAGAAGGTCCAGCTGCTTTCACATACTGGCTCTGATGGATAAGGAAGGCAAGCTGGGTCCCTCTGACAATGAGGCTTATTCAGCTTGCTTGTTGGAAATCCAAGCAAGGCCTTTTACTTTTGCAGAGTATTGCCAGGGCTCCTTGGCTATTTGCATGTGGGAAGCCAATAGCCTCTGTGTGGGAGTCTATGACTGTGTAACATGTGGCCGCCGTGTGAACACCTACAGATCATGAGTTACCTTGAAAGAGCACTTCATGGGCTTCCAGACTCCACCTCCATCTGTGCTACTCTGTGGAACCACCTCCTCACAACCTGTGACATGTTCTGTTTACCACATTAATATTGGCAAATCTTCATCATGGGAAGGTGGGAAGGTTGATAGAGGAAAGATGCAAAAGAGTCTGGAGTCAAGCCTGATGAACCTTCAGGTTGAGCAGGCTGGGTGTGTGCATGCCTGTGCTCCATGTGTGTATGTCTCTGTGTGTGTGTGTGTGTGTGTCTGTGCATCTGTGTATAAATATGTGAAATGTGTGTTCATGTACGTGTGTATCCAGGTATGTGTGCTGTGCTGTGCTGAGTCCTTCAGTCATGTCCGACTCTTTGCAACCCTATGGACTGTGGCCCACCAGGCTCTTCTGTCCTTGGGATTCTCCAGGCAAGAATACTGGAGTGGGTTGCCATGCCCTCCTCCAGGGGATCTTCCTGACCCAGGGATTG